AGAGAGAAATCGCTCCCCAGGGAGAATGGCCACTTCGCAATCCCTCCTCCTCCATTCTCTTATCAGAATGTTGGGCACACATGCACAATGCACATGGTGTGATTCTCAAGCTGCTGGACCCAGGACTTGAACAGGGAAGCTAACCATGTGGGATCCAGCACCTTAACTTCCACACCACCTGCTGGCCTGAATTTTCACGTTTTACCCAATCATACTGGAATTGTGTAGAAACATCTTGGATTAAGTTGGACACCAGTTGTTTCTATATAAATAAAATAACTATCCAAATAAATCAAATAATTTGCTCAAATGTCCAAGTAATATACATATATATTAGTTTGCTATAGGGCGCATGCACTCACTGGACAGAGACAGAGAGGGAGAAGACTAGAGAGAGAAAGTGAGAAAACAACCCCCAAGGGGGATCACCATGCCACAACCTCTTCCCCTTCACTCTCCTCTCTGGATTTTGGGCATACATACACACGCGCCATAGGTCATGTGAGAATCAGCCACCTTAACCACCATACCACCTGGCTGGCCAAAATAAATATTTTTTGATTAATCTCTCAAACTTGCTTCTATTCTAATTTTCATTTAGTCACATAGACCCTCCCCCCAAAAGTAGTATTTCTATATACCTGTATGACCCCTATACATCAACATATTATGTATACATATGTAAATGAGTAAGATATAAATATAATAAGAACATGCAAACTACATCACTATTTTCATTGCTATAAAGTTACAGAGTATGAGGAAGTAATGAACTTTAAAACAATCTTCCAGGGGCCAGCAAGTGACATGGTGGTTAAACTGCTGGACTTCCATATGGCCGACCATGGTTTGAGTCTCAAAACCAGATGCTTGAAACTCATGCTGTGTGTGTGTGTGGGTGTGTGAGTGTGTGTGTGTTTGCCCAAAATCCCAAGAGGAGAATAGAGGAGAAGGGACTGCAGTGTGGCCATTCTCCTGGGGGGGGGGGGATTTCTCACTTTCTCTCTCTCTCTCTGTCTCTCTTTCTCCAGCAAGCGCACAGGTACTATGCAAAAATCTCTCTACAAAAAAGAAAAGGGCTCCAGCCTCCTGAAGCTACTGGCCAGCTTAGGACCAATCAATGTATTTAAACCAGAACAAATAGAAAATCATGTAAGTATGTCTGGCTTTTAAAAATGTTTTAATGACCCTTCCTAGTATTTCCATAAGATCCATCCAAGATCTTTTATGTCTTTATAATGTTTCAGATATTTTTCCAATCCTGGATAACCAGTTAGATAAGCCTACCTAAAACAGAAGCTGTGTCACTTGCCCCATTAAAAGATAAATTTGAACAAGGAAAATAAAAGCCAAGTAACAACCATTGTTAGCTTTCCTTTAAGTTTTCCCGGGCTGGGGAAATAGCCTTGCAGGAGAGAAAACAAACTTTGCCTCCAGCATGTCACTGTATAAGCACTATATCCATCTCTCTGAATAAAGAAGAAATAAATTCAGCTTTGGAACTCTGCCATTGAGTGGTGGCTCTTGCAAAGGGGACAGTTTGCTATTAATTGTTAATGTCGTCTGCCATTAGAGGGCACTAAACAACTCTACATTAATGCATTGGAGGGAAGGGAGGAAAGCAGACGGGAATAGAAAAGAGGGGAGGGAGAAGAGGGAGGGAGAGCCGGGGTAACAGCCGAGAGGAAAAGGGAAGGGGCAAGGAAGAGAGTAGAGGGAAAGGGTGGAGGACTGGAGGGAAAAGAGACCGAGACCGAGAGAATCAGAGACAGAGAGACAGAGACAAAGTGAATCTGGAAAGATTAAGAAGGATGTGGAGCCCTCAGAGCCGTCTGAAGTGAGCAAAAAGCCAGCCTCCCCCGAGCCGCCAGCGCCCCTCCCCTCCCGTCCTCACGACGGTAATTATAAAGCGCAAAGCGGCGGCGAGGTCACCGGTTTTTACCAGCCTGCTGCACCGAATGCGCGCGGTGCAGGTGCGGCGGCCGCGGGCTTTGTGATTCATGCCCACTTTCAAAGGGGGGCTTGGGCCCGTCTGAGAGGCACCCAAACAACTGTCTTCTAATATTAGCACGGCTGTATTTCGGGATCTATTATAGTCTGTCCAGACAGATCCCATTGTAATGGGATCTTTTATTAAAAGATTAGCACTATCTCCTGCAGTTGGTGGAAAAAAATCTGTTATCACTGAGTTATTTGCAGTTGCGGAGGGGGTGGGGGGTGGAAGGTGGGGGCTTGTAGTGCGAGAGAAGGACTGGGGGAGGGTCTGGCGGGAGGAGGAGGATGGGGGCGAAGAGAGGCGGATTTGAAAACTGTAGGCGAACAAATCCCAGTGACCTGCGAATGTCCAAGAATTTTGTCTGCATACTTCGCTGTCTGTTGTCCTTCGGGCATCTGAAGCGAAAAGAATAGAAATTTAAAAGGCAGCTTTGGAATAAACAATATAGCATTTTCCGTGAAGTAATCGTTTTATATAAAAGGAAATATCGCCTCCTCAGTTTCATTCAGCGGTGCCAAAAATGTTATAAATGAGAGACCCGCCAACTTCCAGCGAAGAATGCCAGGCACTGTACTTAATAAACTGAGGCTACAGAAGTTCATTATCGATGTTGCAATCTTTTCTATTCCACGAAGAGAGGGCGAGAGGGAAGAGAGGAGCCGAGGAGGAGACTGGGAGAGACAGACGGAGGCACGCAGGGCAGAAACTGGGGAGTCTCGAGCCCGGGAGGGACGGGGGGCAGACCGCCTACGTCGGCGCCCCCGCTCG